AAACATTTTGAATATCTGGTTTGGGTGGTGAGCTTAGAGTTGTTCATCATATCCTTTTCAAAATATACACAAAATAAATCAGGCCATTCATGGACCAACGGCACCAATGCATCATGGCCAAAGATGGCTGATTCAAGTCAAGAAATCTGACGAGGTCCTTGGCAGACACGGAAGGAGAGGGAAGGACAGGAATGGAGGGACATAGCTCAGGAACTACCAAGTCCAGGGGTTAACAAGCTATGGCCCAAGGGCCATGCCCCTCTCCCACCTGTTTCTGTAAATCAGCTTTTTAGCACACTTGGTCACTCATTTCTGACTCCTCCATGGCAGTTTACAGATGAGAGTAAGAATTGAACAGTAGGCAGAAGGCTGGCTGGAAAAGTTAACACATGTATTCTCTGGCTCTTTGGAGAAAACCTGTGTGGACCCCTGTCCCTGTCTGAACTTGCCAGAATCCCCCCACCCCCAAAAAACCCAAAAAAATCTACCCAGGTTGGGGTCTCTGTGGCTTCCCTGGCTGCTGGGTCAGGAGCAGGATACAGACTGAACTGACACCCGAACCCCGGGCTGCCAGCCCAGAGAAGTCTCCCAGCACAGCTGGAGTGGCCCTTCTCTCTCCTCCCCATGCGGCTCTAAGAGCGTATTAAGACAAATGCTATTAAGCAGTGTTGGCTCTGTCGTTTGCAAGGGTAAGCGAGGTTTCAGAACAACCTCCCTGCCAGTGTCTCAGTCAGTGCTAAGCAACAAATGATGTATCTCTTGAGATTGTGCCCATCTGACCTCAGATGCCCCTGAAAGTATTTGAAAACAAGTGCATTTACCTGGAGTTTCCATGTGGGCTCGTGGCACATGCAAAGGGACCCCTTCTGGGAGATGGGTCTGTGGTACCCCAGCTAGACCCACTCCCTGAATCCCACATGGGGCCCTATTTTTTTTTCTTTTCTCTCAGTACTGGGGATTGAACTCAGGACATTGCACATGCGAGACAGGCGTGGCACCACTGAGCTAAATCCCCGGCCTCCACAGGGCCCTATTTTTGTGTGAGGGCAGGCCACTGAGTGTATACAGGCCTGAGGGCGTGGGAGGACAGGACGCCTGCACAGACCTTATGAGGGATGGATTTATTATGAGAGGGCTCCTGCCTTTACCATGTTTTCTGAAACTCTCGCAAACGTTTCCTGGCTTTTTCCAGAAACTGTGTGTGCAGCCTGTTTTGCCCTAAGATCTGCCACTGGAAGTCACCTACCATCTGATTGTGCTTCTCCTCATTGATGATGCTGCTGCTGTACAAGGGTGAATGGGCTCTGGACAGGGGCCCCACTTCCCTGGCTGGGAGCCCCGTGGAGTAAGACCTCAGAAGGGCCAGGTGAGTCTTCCTGCACAGCCGCCGCTCCTCGTCCAGCTCAGCCCTGCAGTGGACTTCCAAGCTCATGTTGGGGTGCTCTGTCTGCTCCAGCAGGCTCTTCTGCCTTCCCCCTTCCACCGCCGTCTTCTGCCTCTGCCTCGATGCTCTCCAGCCCGCTGGGTCCTGCTGTCCCGGCCATGGAGGCTGAGGTGAGCCCTCTGCCGGAATGGCTGGTTTGGGGCTCTGCAGGATCCCGGGCTCTCTGCCCATGCATATCATGTCCTCGGGAGGCAGCATCTGACTTTCCCTCTGGGGGATGCGTGGGGCTAAATGATGGCACTGGGCGGCCTCAGCCTGGCTTGGTAACTGTTGCAGATTGCACCGGGACGCTCTCCCAGAGGACTCCGCTTCTGAGACAGGCACAGCTACTGCCTGCCCTGTCCCCTCCTCTCCAGGGGTATCACTACTTAGTCCCTGGCCTCTGAGAAGACCTGCTGTCCAGCGGGGTTCTGGCCTGCCAAGGCCCTCCGTTCGAGGTGCCAAGTCAGGCGTTCTCTCAGCTTTCTGCTCGTATTAAACAATTCCTCCATGGCAGACTCTAGCTCTTTCTGCCAATAGTCCTTGTCACCACACTGGGACTGTGACCCCTTTTCGTGGGTGGAGCTGACCAGGCACAGCTGTTCCCGGTCCTCCGGGTGGCTCTCTGGACTCTCGGGCCCTGAGCCGAGTGGGTGGTCCCCTTTCCCACGTGCCGCATCCGCTTTGGGGCTCTCTCCTTCGCTTTTTCCTCCAGGAACTTGGTTTCCACTGCAGTGGCCAAGAGTGGATGCAGCTTTTCAAGGTCAGTCCTTCGAAAGCCCACCCGACTCTCCACAAGCTGGCAGCCACCGCTGGTCTGAATTGAAGGAGCCCGCTTCCCTTTATTCTTCTCGGGGGGACTCAAACACTGCGCTTGGGGAGCCCCCGTCTCTCTGAGCCTGTTGCTTTCTTCAGGGACTTGGTGTGCCAGGCCTGTCATCTGGGTGGCACCTCCCTGCAACTCCTCTCTTCTCTGCGGGGTTCTTTGTGCCTCTGCCTGCCCCTGGGGGATCTGGCTGCTCCCTGCAGGATGGGCTCCTCTGAGTGGGGTTTGTTTCCCGCTGCCCACCTTGCAGCCCCACCCAGTTGAAGGGCTAAATACAGCCGCTGCAGGTCTCTGAGTTGCTGGTGTCCAGCCTCCTGCCACTCTGTCCGCAATTCCCCAGGCAGGCACTGCAGTTGGCAGCTTCTCCGCTGCTGCTCCTTGGGTCTCCTCTGCAGAACGACATCTCCTTTGCCCCTGGCCTGCAGCAACGTAGACTTCCGCCTCAAAGCGAAGGCTGTGTCATCAGGAGCGAGCCTGGGCCATGCAGCATGCTCTGTGTCCCTTTGCATTTCTGCGAGCTCTGCAGACACAGCTTCTGAGAGAAGGGGGCTCAGCCCAAAGTGGATGGTTCTGGGGACAAAGGACCTGGGGGGCCTCAGGTGTCACAACTGTCCCACTGCAAACCTAAAAGGACAGGAGGACACACATTGCCTCCCAGAGTGTCCCGAGAGGGAGCAAGGCCCTGGGGACAAGTGCACGTGGGATTCTCCGTGCAGGAACACACAGTCCTCAGGGCCCCTCCCACATGGCAGTCCGATAAGAGTCCATGGGGCAACTGTTTTCAATGGGGTATGGCCTTGCTTCCCAGGGGACAGGCATGCAGCAGTGTCTGGGAACGGTTCTTGTCCTAGTGCCTAGTGACTAGAACAGGGAACTGCTGCAGAGGCCAGGTCTGCTGCCAAACATCCTACAATGCCCCAGACAGCTCCACAACAAACTATGATCTGACCCAAAATGTCAATAGCATTGAGGCTGAGAAGCCCACCCCAGGAGGCAGGTTAGGATAGAGGCAGGGTGGGAGCATACAGCGAGCACCTGCAAACAGACCTGGGGGAGGCCAGGGCAGGAAGAAGAGGAAGCCCAAGCCCCGCCTCTGGGGCCAGAAAGCAGCTTACAAACCGAAAGAGGAAGGGGCAGAGGAGGGAGGAGCCTGCCAGATAGAGTGTGCGTGCGTGCATGGATCTGTAGGGCAGGCATGTGAGCGGGCATGTGTGCGGAAGTGTGGGTGTGCACACAAGTTTGGTACTTGAACCCAATACAAAGCAAACAGAGGGAAGATAAGACGTGTGTTACATCTCTTTCCATGGTTCCAACTCTTTGCTTGTGTGACAGAGGACTCCTGCCGGTCTCTGGCATCAGGAAGGGTCACTCAGAAAATAGCACCCACATGTATACCATGGCCTGCATGCATGGCTTCTCCTCCGAACACTGCTCACCTCGCTGCTCCGCTTTTACAGTAACCATGGGAAGTAAGGTGCTAGTACCACCCCTGAGTCACAGATGGAGAAACCGAGGCAGGGAACGACAAGGACACCTGAGGCAGATCCCATAGCTCTCAAGAGGAAGACAGGCTCTCCCTGCTTGGGTAGACCACAGTGCCTTTGACCGGCTGTGTTTGCTGATGCTGCCAGTGGCTTGGATTCCCATCTTCTGGTGGGAGGTATTTGTACCCCTGGTCAAGCAGAGCATGAACTCAGAATCATACACTTAGAACAGTGGCTAAGATCCTATTCTGCCAGTCTGCCCACCACCATGGGGACAGCAAGAGGACGGGGTGAAGGCTGGGACATTCAGCCCCATGACTGAAATTTCTGACAAAGGTGACACAGCAATTCAATGGGGGAAAGAACAGTCTTTTGTTCTTTGTTCTTTGTTTTTTCAACAAATGGTCTTGTGACAGTTGAAAATCTACATGCAAAAAAAAAAAAAGGAGGAATTTGACCCTTTCCTTACATCATATACAAACAGTAACTCATAGTGGATCATGGGCCTTCATAGGTCTAAAACTGTACTACTTAGCAGGTGTTTATTCACCTTGACTCTAACACCAAAAGCTCAAGCAATAAAAGAAGAAATGGAGAACCTGGACACCAACAAAATTCAAACTTTTGTGCTTCGAAAGGCACTGTTGATAAAGTAAAAATAAAGGCACAGACTAAGGAGATATTTGTGGATTGTAAATTCAATAAGAGACTCCAATCGAGAATATATAAACAAGTCTTACAACTCAATAAGAAGACAAATGATCTAATTTTGAAATGGGCAAGAAACTCAAATAGACATTTCAGAGAAGACAGATGTGTAGTTAAGACAGCACTAAAAAGGTGTCCAACCCCACATTCACAAGGGAAATGCAGACTGAAGCTGCAGTGAGACACCACTTCCCACCCACTGGTCACACCCACTGGGTGTGCAATTTTTAGAGAGCAACAAGTGCTGTCAAGGAGGTGGACAAATTGGAACGTCTCACAGTGTGGCTGGGAACGTAAAATGGTGCAGCCCTACTTTGGAAAACAGTCTGGCACTTAGTTTCTTTAGAAGGTAAACGAGCTGAGATGATGGCACGCCTGTCATCTGGGCACTGTGGGAGGCTGAGGCAGGAGGATGGCAAGTTTGAGCCCAGCCTGGGTAATTTAGTGATTTATTGAGATCCTGTCTCAACATAAAAAAAAACAAAAACGGGCTAGGGATGTAGCTCAACACAAAGGACCTGGGTTCAATCTCCAGTACTACCACCACTACCACCACACACACACTGACACACACACACGTGCACACACATGCACACACACACATACACAAAGGTAAACAGACAGCATTAAGACCAAGCAATTCTCCTCAATCCTGTTCCTAGGCCTATAGTCAGGAGAAATGGAAGCATGGAAGCATGTGTCCACACAAAGGGATGGAAGCTTGGAGAGGCTCAATACTTTTCCCAGCTCCCAGAAGCTCTGGGTTCGAATGTGAGTCTCACTTACCAAAGATAGACCTCTTCCCACCCCTGGGAAGGGCCCTGAAGAGTGGGCTGGGGTCTGGGCTGCTGTGAATGTGCTTTGTCCGTCATGGAAGACATGTGGAGGGAATGGGGGTCACACCCTTTATTAGCAGGTGACAATATTTAAGACTCCTCAAGCTTGGGAAGCGTCCCTGGCTCAGCTGATGACCCTAATTTGGTGGAGAGCTTTGGGGTGAAGTCTAGGAAATGACAGCAGTTCAGGCGTTGCTGGTCCCTAGGACACTGCCAGGTGTGTCCTTCATACCAGATGTCAGGGTCCCTCTCGGACTCATGGGAGTACTGACCCTGATGTGACCAGGGACATGCACTCCACGGGGACCCCTCCACCTGGGAGGAGTGCCTGCTCCCCAGGCCGCCTGGAGCCTCTCCGGGACACCTGCCAAGGAAGAGAGGCATGCTTCTGGTTGGGGTCCCCACTCCAGACACACCCACGCTGTGTGCTGAGGAGAACATCCTGGACTGAGTGGGGTCCTGGAGACCCTACATTCCCCTCCCCACACCCCATGTCCTCATGATGAGTGGCCCTCATGTCATCCAGACCTCTCAGAGCAGAGGGCTGCCTTTCTGTCAGCTGCCCTCACCACTTGGGGAAAGCACAGACCCCTTCCTGATGGAGCTGCCCCCATAGCCATCCATGGGAAGACAGCATTGGCGGCCACCTGTGCCCCCTAGCGCCCCCTGCCATGCAGAGCGGACACTGGGCCTTTTCTCTCCAGCTTTCTGCACCCTTGTGACCCCAGTACCTAAAGCCAGCCTGCAGCGGCCACACCCACACAGCTGCTCAGACAGCTTTCCAAAGATGTAGGCCCTGCCTTGCCCTAAAAAAGACCCTCTGTGAGGCGGCCCGTGGACAGTCCTCAGGCCTTCTGGCCCTCTCCCTGCAGAGACCCCAGGGCCTCTGAGCAGCCCAGGCAGAGACAATGGCTGCTGTGGACCTGGAGGATCAAGGACAATGAGCATCCCATCGGAGACACTGTGAGGTGCTGCTCATCAGGGCTCCTGGTCAGGCAGGATGGAGTCCCAGGCAGCCCATCTAGGAGCTTTGGGGACAGGCCTGTCCAGTCCAACAAGGAGGACAGTCACACAGCTAATTTGCTACAGTCATGACAAAGGCTCAAGCTCAGACTGTAGCAGTGATGCTTCCGGATCCCCCCAGGGACCACCGCTGGATCAGTGTTTACCCACCCCCCACCCCATGGCTGGCCAAAGATAGGACATTGAGCCTAGCACACGTGGGTGCCTAGGAATCACCACAGCAGGAGCTGTGTCCTGTCCCAGGCGTGGTGGGCGACGGCAAGCGTGACGTGTCCCAAGATGATGCCAGGATGCAGCTGCCTCCTCCATCTTCAGGGGTTTCCTGGCCCCTACAGATGGAGACACTGCCTTTCCTCCCCACCTGACTCCCAAGACCCCCCACACACCGACTTCTGGCTGGGGCCTACCCTGTCATGTGCCTGGAACTGATTGTATTGTGGAGATTATTTAACCAAGCCAGGGGACAAATGTGGAAAAGATGGGGACAAATAGACCTGGCTGTGAGGATGTGGCGTTGACAACCATGCAACCCTGGGCAGCACCACACTTCCAAACTCACACCCATCTCGCGCTGTCTGTCTAGAGGGGAGCTTTAGGCCTATCCTCACTTCTCACAGGGACGCTGAGACTCAGAGAGGTGAAGTGACTTGCCTGGGGCCAAAGAGCTCACAAGCATTGCAGCACGGGTTCAAACCCAGCAGGAGGTGGACCACTGGCCCCAGGCTCCCAACCTGGAAGTGAGAGCGGGCACAGCAGGATCCACTCCCAGGGCCCGAGAGGACCTCACCGGTCCTCCTGCCCACCTGACCTCCAGCCTCTCTGGATCCCAGAGGTGCTTGGCCTCGGAAGGCTCTAAAGCCTGGGATGGGCCTGCGTGCTTCCTATGCTTCTCCCCCTTGCCACCACAAGACCCTCATGTCACCACCGAGTGGACCACCCACCCCTCCAGCTCACGGACTTGATTCCTCAAGGTGCATTCCACAGCAGGTCAGCCCAGTGCTCCTGGAACTCTGTGAGTCAGGTTCAGACTCAGCAGGTCTCATGTGGGGGCTGGGGCTCTGCATGTCTGAGGCGCTCCCCAAGGACACTGAGGTGGACACTGTCGTCCAGAGGTCGTGCTTGGAGTCGAGGCCCAGCAGACAGGTCTCCACATGTCCTCCTCTATCCTCTTCCAAACTGTGACCCCCTCAGCCCTCCAAGCTTCCTGGTCAGCCTCTCTGTCAGCCCCATCCGCAGGCCTCCCCCTCCTCCCTGCACTGTGGCTACAGCTTCCACCACAATGGCCTCTGTGGTGCTCACTGGCCAGGCTGCTGCTGTGGCCCATGGCCACCTGCAGCATGCACCTGAGCCCAGTGCAGATTCCCGGCCCAGCTGAGCTGGAGCAATGGAGCCTCAGGGGACAGGCACGGGAGCTTATCAGTCTCAGAGAGCTGAGATCTCTGGCTCCAGGCTCGGGAGCATTCAGGCAGCTTACGGCCTTGCTCCCCTTCCTTTCCCTGCCAGGAGTGCCACAGACCAGCCACCCTGACCTCCACAGCAACAGCAGAGCCCTCTTCCCTTCTCCAGAAGCCAGCCACCCAGTCAGCACTTCTCTGAAACACATAAAACCAGTTATAGAAGGGCTCCCACTAGCCAGTCACAGTGGCACATGCCTGCTATCCCAGCATTTTAGGAGGCTGAGGCAGGAGGATCACAAATCCAAGCCCATCCTGGGAAACTTAGGGAGAGCCTGTCTCAAAATAAAAAAGAGCTGGGGATGTAGCTCAGTGTATATGTCCTGGAGTTCAACCCCCAGTACCTCTCCCAACAACAAAAAAAGAAGCTTCCATCAGTTGGTGTGGGCTAGAGAGGCAGTGCTTGCATTCAGCTAAAGCTTAGTCTCATGTAAAGTCAGACAGCTGTCTACCCTTTAGGAGTATTAGAATACGTATTATTTGACCTCAAAAAAATAGAAACAAAAAAATCTCTCTTAGTTGTCCTTGAGATGATACATACAACATGCATACAACAGAGTTCCGCTAAACCGGAGACTCTAGTGTCCGGGGGAAAATAGAATGAGACACATCCGAAGCTCACCGGATCCAACCATGTGAGCGCCGAGTGGGAGAACCCTGGATGTGGAAGACAAAGAGAAATGTACTTGGTCTCACGGGAAGGACAGCTTGACTAAAGACAAAGGAGACTCTGCTATTGGGAGATGCATCTTCCTAGGGTCCCCGAAAGGATGCGGGGTGGCCATGAAGAGCAAAGGGATGCAGAGCTCGGGAGAATGACAACACTGGTCACGGAATGGACACCCTAAGAGCCAGGACTGTTCAGAGGTGGGCAGAGAGGTGGCTTCAGGGTACAGCTTCTGGCTCACCTCAGTGCTGAGGTCAAGTCAAGAGCACTAACCAGCCATGTGACCCAAAGCAAGCAGTTTAACTCAGTCTCCTTGTCTGTCACCATGACGACCACCCAAATGTGCTTGGCTGGCAATTTAAGGGGAGGGAGATACTCACTGTGCCTGTGTCCAGAAGACTGGGATGGACCACCGAGAGCACATGACAGGGAGGCAGAGGTTGGCCAGGGGAGGGATGCACCTCCTACAGGGCTGTTTTGGAATCACTGGGTAGGCAGTGAGACAGCCATCACTGAAGGCATCCAAGCCGAGCCCAGATAAAACAAACATATGTGACACCGTGACACCTGTGTGCTGCCCCAAGCCTGGTTTTCACCACCTCCTGACTTTTTTTTTTGGTACTGGGGATCAAACTTGGGTCCTTGTGCTTTTGAGGCAGGCGGCGGAACCACTGAGCTAAATCCTCGGCCCTACCACTTCCTGACTTTGAGCGGAGTTCTACAGTGGCAGTTACAAAAGCCGCTGGGCTGGGTTTTGGGCTGGCAGCATGGGAACCCCCGGAGGGAGGGAAGTCATGGCAGAACATGAGACCCCCCCCAGGCCCATAGCAGGTTTTCTTTTCACCCAAATCCTGGAGTGGGGCTTGTGAATCTGTTCATTTCACCATCTCTTTGTAACCCACCAGAGCTAGACGGCAGAAGTGGCCGGCAGCCAGCCACTGAGGGGATCACCTCAGGCTCATCATGACTCAGGTGCTTCCTGGAGCAGCTTCACTGAAACAAACTCTGAGGCTGACCGACCCCAAACTCATGGTCTGGACACCAGCAAGCTGAGTGGGCTGCTCATGGCTGACTACCACCTGCCTTCCAAGTCCCCAGCCTGGGCTGAGGTCCCCCAAATTAGCAGCTGCTCTTGCTGTACCATGATACTTCTGACTCCCCAGCTCCATTCTGCCAGTTCCCCACACCCATCCTCATCCTCCTGGTTTAACTGTCCTTGCAGAGCCCTGCGGTGCAGTGTCTGTCACACGGGCCTCCTGGACCTGCGTCCTGCACACCCTCATCGGCCCATCTCCAAGGCCCTCTCGGGAGCCTCGCCTGACAGCTGGGTACAGACACAGCCCCCCCCTCACCCCACATAAGGGAACAACCACCCTGAGGTGATGTGCAAGGGTCCCACTGACCCAGGCTGGCCGGGATCGAAGCTCTCCAGTTCCACCAGCAGATCCCTAGCTGGTTGACTAGGGCAGCCCATTGCCATGGGAACGGGCAGAGTTGTGCTGTGACATCATGGAAGGGGTGAGGTCAGGGACAGTGCCAAGCCAGCCAGAGAGTGGGCGTGCAGGTGACTTGGCTCCAACTGCCGGATGATGAGCAGGGGCATTTTGAAGATGCCCGGTTAGTCATGTCTGAGGTGGGTGCTGCACAATATGAAAACCCCCACAGCCACAGCGCAGAAGATACCTTCTTTCCTCCAGCCTGGCAGCATCACAACCTCCTCAGCTCCCCAGAGGTCAATAATGCTGACAGGCTGGGGAGATTTAGTTTGAGAAACACAGTCCCAAGGAGGCAAAGCAACTGATCCTCAGGGATCCATTCTTGCAAGGAAACGTGAACAGCAGGGATGTGGCCAGGGCATGGGCATCTCAGGAGGATTCAGGCTCAGGAGAGCTGAACCTAGCATCACAGGTTTTGTCTAGGCTGGCTGGGCCAGTGCAGCAGAGGGAGTCCTCCATGGGAAAATTCCCTACCCAAGCTCCCACCTACTCGAGTTTTGGTCACTCTTCTTAGCCCTTGGGGTGACTAATTTCCTCTATCAACCTGACTGGGCTATGGGGTGCCCAGACAACTGATCCTTGTGATTTCTGAGTGTGCCTGGGTGTGTTTCTGGAAGAGATTAGCATTCAAATCTAGACCACCTGATCTAGATCTCCCTCCCCAGTCTGGAGAGCCTTCGCCCAAGCCACTGAGGCCACAGGCACAACAGAAAGGCAGAAGAAAGGAAAATTCTCTCTGCTGAGGCTCGAGTGTCCATCTACTGCCTGCAGACATCACAGCTCCTGGCTTAGGGGCACTGGATGCAGACTGAGTCACACTGTCAGCTCTTCCAGGCCTCAGTCTGCAGGCAGCAGACCGTGGGGCTGTCAACCTCCATAACTGAGGGAGCCAATTTCCATAATAAATCCCATCTTGTATGTCTCTCGCTATAACCCATTGGTTCTGTTCTCCAGAGAACCTTGACGAATACAGCCCTAGAGACAAAGTCTCGAGTCTGCTTCTCCCTCTCAGAAAATATACGCTTGCAAGAAGGACATCTGGTTCCTCTTAAATATCTGAATATTTTATATTTCAATTAAAAATCAACACCATTTATCACCTGCGGAGCACGCCATGCTGTGATCTACTTAGTCACTCCTCTGTTGCTATAGTCTAACATTTCCCTAGGATAAGGGGGACAGGGATAAATAACTTTGTAACCAAATGCTTAGATGCCCTTGTTTTCTTCAGAAAAATTCCTAGATACAGGGTTGGCTGATCAAAAGGAAAACATGTATTTACAGCTCTTGACTGTGGCTGCCACAACATCCAGCTGAGCTGTGCAACTGCTCGCCTTAGGACAGAATGCATGGGCTGCCCAGCCTCTCCAAGGACAAGCAGCCTCCCGGCCAAAGGAATTGAGCAGATGAGCACAGGTCTGCAGCTGTGAAGTCTCCTTCCACAGCCTGCAGCCAACATCAGTCTCCTTGGATTCCTGGCTCTGCCACTCCACTGGTGACCTTGGGCGAGACTCAGACCTCCCCATCCAAACAGGGTCAAACTCCTGCATCCCTCCTTCACAGAGTCCTTGACAAAACAAGGACAGAGATGTGCAGGGCCTTGTGTACTGAAAGGCCCTTGACAACCACATATTTATCTATATGCCTGGGTATCTTATTCCTGCCTTCAAGAACTGGTGTGTAGAAAGCAAAGGCTACTTCCCCATTTGTTCCTTCGTCCTTGTCAGGGAGCCCACAGGGCCAAGGGGACAAGATGTCACAGCTGAGAGTCAGGACTTGTGATATTCTTCGTAGCTCCGGGCTGGACACCTGGGAAGGGCTAGGCTGGTCTGCTCCCAGCGATGTCTGAGGTTTCCTGCTAAGAGGGCTATCCAGGAAAGTTTGTCCACCCTCAGAAAATGCTGGACAGGGAGCCAGGACGGGGCTGGGTGTGAGCAAGTCCACTAAGCCTTTGACCCCCAAAAGTAAGGAGCCCGTGGGCCGGGGATTTAGCTCAGTGGTTCCGGTGCCTGCCTCACAAGCACAAGGTCCCGAGTTAGATCCCCGCTACCCTAACCCTAGCCCTAACCCTAACCGAAAAAAGAAAAAAGGAGCCCATGTGCCCCAAAGCCCTCCAGTCACAGTGTCAACACAGTCTTTCTGTATACAACCACCCTGGGGACCTGAAGCCCCCAGAAGGACCCCACCTCCTGTCCTTCCTCTTGATGGGGCTCAAGCACTTCGTCATTGATCCCACTGGCCTGCACCCCATCGCCCATGGCTGAGGCCTCACTGTGCCTACAGGAAAGATGAATGACGAGGTCTTCCTAGGGTTGAGGGACCCCTGCTCCCTCTCTTAGGCTCCCTGTGGGCTCCGATTTCATCCTGTCTGCGTGCGCTGTAGAGACACAGCCTGGCCTGAGTCTCCATGCCTGTGGCCCTCCTGGCTTTCTTCTAAATCCCTCTCCTGTTTTCCGCCCCCTCCCATGTCAGGGAACCCTGGCGAGGACATGGGGCCTCAGTGCAGCCACAGGACTCAGCACAAGGCCATCTAGGCAGGGCGGCACAGGAGCAATCCATCAAAGGAGAGGCTTCCTGTTGGTGCTGGGCCCGGTGCAGTGGTTGTTTAGGAACCATGTTGCCCTCCTTGGATTCCTAGGCTGAACCCATCAGGGTCCCTGTGCTCCAGATCCAGTGAGGGAGGAAGGGCTGCACACCCAACCTGGGGGCAGAGAGCATCCAGGCTGGGCTAGGGGAAGCAGAACATCTGCGGTGGGCAAAGGGAGGTGCATTTCCTCCCCTGCCTGCATGCCTTTCTCCCTAAAGTGCTCCTGGACAGAGGCTACCCGGGAGAGAACTGCACTCAGTGTCTCAAGGTTACTGCAAAGGGCGTGAGGAACTTTTAGTACTTTTACACACTGACTCATTTATCAGAAATTTGCTGAGGCCGGGTGTGGTGGCTTTTGCCTATCATCCCAGCACTCAGGAGGCTGAGGCAGGAGGATTGCTTCGAGTTTGAGGCCAGTCTGGTCTACATAGTGACCAGGCTGTAGTTCAAGGATAGCTTGAACTACGGAGTGAGACCCTGCCTAAAAAAACAAAACAAAACAGAAAAAACTGCTCTGAGAAGTATAACCCCACTTCTGCAGAAAGGGAAGCAGGCTCAGAGAGAAACAAAGTGGGGGCTCAGAAGCAGTACACCTGGCTCCAAAGCCCAGGTCATTTCTCCCAATCTTTCCCTTTGTTTTTTTTACCCTAAACTGTCCCATTTTCTCAGTTAAGAACCAGCTGTCAGAGAGGGTCCTGGTCAGGGGCCCCACTGTCACCAGAGGGGCCTGGCAAAGCCTGCCCCACCCTGTTTGCTTTGTTGAGTATATGGTCCCAACCAATGGGGTGCCGGGAAAGCCTGTCCGACTACAGATCAGAGAGAGCACAGAAAGGGCAACCCAGGCCGGGCCGGATGCTGCCCCGGAAGCTACGCTCTCCAGAGCTCTGGGGCTCTTTCCCCAAGGAACATTCTGAGACAGAAAGCCAGGCCTTTGGCTGGAAACCCACATTCGCTCAAGGGCTCAAGGGCCCAGGACGTGTGGGTGAGTCCCTGGCACCCTCAGGGTCAGCTTGGACCCCACATCTCATGTTTTCCCCATCACATGCTTCCTTCTGGAAAGTATGGGACAGGTAACCAAGTGACAAATACACCAGCCACATCCTGACCAGGTGCTTCAGTGACCCGGGACAGGAAGTTTTTCTTTTTTTTTTTTTGGTACCGGGGATTGAACATGGGACCTTGAGCTTGCAAAGCAGCCGCCGGAACCACTGAGCTAAATCCCCAGCTCCGACGGGCAGTTTTTCTGTAAAAGGTGGCTAGTAAATGACTTTGGTGAGAGTGATGCAACCTGACACTTACTCTCCCCCAACCGCTGTGTTGCAAAAGCAGCCAAGGCATAGAGGCGCTTCCGGCGGGGCGGGCGGGGCTGCCTTACAACAAAACTTTATTTACTACAACAGGTGACTGCCCTGTGGTGAGTGTGGTTTGCCAACCTCTGAAAGAGGCCAGCAAAGTTTTAGGGGCCCGACGGCCTTCATGGGACCCTGGCACATGAAACTGGTCCAGCACACGCCACGAGGTGCCCTGCACATCCTGAAAGGCCAGCCCGGCCCCTGCAGCACCCCTAGGAAAACGCATGGCTGAGTCCACCCGAGGAAGCATATTCAACAGCCCACGTGCACTGTGGTGCTGTAAGTCAGGCCTGGGTGATGGATGCAGAGGTTTTACTCTATGACAGACTAAAAACCACACTTTAACTCCGTGACCTATGCAGTATGAATTACATTTCAATAATGCTGATGAAAGGCAGAGGCTGGGTGTCCAGGAGAAAGAAGTAACAATCCTTTCAGGCATTTTATCTGTGCCTCCAGGGCCCAAGGGAAAGTCACTTGCTCATGCTAGGCAAGCACTCTGCGCCCCCAGGAATTTTACCATTATTCTGGCCTTGAACTTGTGATCCTCCTGCCTCAATCTCTGCAGTAGCTGGAATTACAGGCATGCACTACCACGCCCAGCCCCAAATCCCTTTTGTTGGGAGTGAGTGATAAGAATTAAACTGAGGACATTGTACTTGCCCTACCACTGAGTAGCACCTTTCAAATGGCTTTTCACTTAAAATAATTACACAGTTCATTCATATTAATCCAAGGAAATTTAGAAAATAGGTTTAAGCTAAAAGAAATTTTAAAATGACCCTCAATTTACCCACAGTTCAGATAATTTTTTCAGTCATGGGGATTGAACCCAGGGCCTTCACACTGAGCTACATCCCAGCCCTTTCTTATAATTTTTTAAAATTTTGAGACAGGGTCTTGCTAAATTGTCTAGAATGGGCTCCAACTTTCTATCTTCCTGCCTTAGCCTCCCACAGTGCTGGGATTACAGGCATGTGCCACCATGCCTGGCATACAGCCTAGAATTTTGA